TTATCCCAGTCGTTTCTTTCTTGTAGAATCTCTTATTGCATTGAGAATGGTGCAATCAATTGTAGGAAACATTTTCAATATCATTTAACGATTAGTAAGCAATAATTATTGAAACCAACATTATGTAGCTCACTAGCTGTTGTTGTAGTTTGTAAGATAATCAGTTTGAATAGTTTCGGCTAACCTTTCGTTAACCAAAGATATAAACACATTTGTGATAAATTCGCCTTACTATACTCCCCCATTTTTAAGAGTAAGTAAATTATGCACTTATATTCATGAAGGTTTCCTTACTTTATCTTCCATTATAACATATTCATATTTCTTCTAAATCTTTCATTATCAAAATTCAACATTCTAGAGCCCTCCGGATTCCTTTCATCTGATTTTATACATACACGTGCTTATATTAGAGAGAAAAACTGTTAACGAAACGATCCATTTATATATGCGTTATAAATTACATAAAACACATTTACCCCCTTGTCAAATTTTTCATTTGAAAGAATAAAACTCTTCATTTCTTTAAATTTAGAAAATATTAACCTAATTTATTTTCACTTATCTATAACTTTCTTTGTTGTTGTTGTTGCTGTTTTAACGTAGAACTACACAATGTGTTGTTCGCGCTCTGTTCACCACAGGAAATCGAACCAAGAATTTCAGTATTTTATCTTCATAAACTTACCGGTAAGTCACAGGGGGGACAAGTTTCTTAATCAAACACAATTTAACAAACTTTCTCAAATTTGGACAACACATCATATTTTAGACCGCTAACTACAACCGTGTAAACGTGACCAACTTTTTTTTTAGGTGGCTATGACATTACCTGAGTGATATTTGAATGCCCAAGTCAATAAAGACTGTAATATTTGCTTCCCTCTCTCATACTTTGAATACATTATACATGCTTAAGGATTTGTTTTATGTTTTATTTGTGAAAACATAAATAAAGATTGTATATATCTTTTTACTTTCGCAGCTTTGTTAATAAATACAAGATTTGCATGTGTTTCTGATTTGCATTTAAAGTATCATAAACTAAGGTCAATGTAACAAACTGGAACATTTTTATGAAAATAAGTAAAACCGTATTAGGTAGAAAATCACTGTTATATTGTTGTTGGTGGTGGTCTGTAACGCAAAGCGACACAATGAGCTGTCTGTATTCTGTCCACCGCGGGGAATTGAAACCTGGATTTTAACATTGTAAGTTCGGAAATTTACCTTTGGCCCAGCGGAGGACGTTTTACATAAGAATGAAGGCTGCTTTAAAAATATGTGCTGTTATATGGGTATATAAGTTGTACTAATATATACGATTCAAATAACTGTATTTGAATATATTTCATGTTGCATCTCTTTGTAATACCCTTTAAGTATATGTACTGTCTATTATATGATTGAAAGTTACTGAACATGTGTTTTATACCGTAATTTATTCTTAATTTTCGCTGTATCACAAATATATATTTCAGAAGCGTAATTTTTATTGTTTCTTTTGCAGCTTACATCTAATCACATCTAAAAAAGTAGCAACTGTAGCGTTTCACTAAATTGTTTTTATACTCACGCACCCCAAAGGTTAAAAACGTATAGTAATGGTTTGCATTTTATTTGCTTGTGGTTTACGTCCAAACTAATAGCAGATTTGGTTATTAACCTAGAAAAGTAGTTACTGTGTCTTTAACAGTTTATTGATCTTGTTCTTTACCTTCACACACTCCTCTTTGAAGAGTAGTAACACCATTATTACCTTTTAGCCATTTTAAAAGTATTACCATTTATTAGAATAATATATCTATTAAATTCTAAATAGAAAGCTTTATAGAGACATTCAAATTCGATGACGAGGAACCCACTTTGAGACTAATAATGATGACAAAACCTTGTCGAAACGTTGTACATTTGCTGTTATGTTAAACTTATATTAAAGTTTTTCCTCATTACCCGTTCAAGCCGTCTCCAACCATTATTATAGAGACATATATACAAACGATCAAAAGACTTTAGCCCTGTAATAGCCCAACAATGAACATAAAGTTTTCTACTGCTTCGTTCAGTCAGTTTTTAAATAGAACAACAAGATCAATCAGTTTGCTAAATAGAACTACAAGATCAGTCAGTTTGCTAAATAGAACTACAAGATTTACAATTTCCTTACACTCTGAATACGTTAATTGCTTACTTTTGTTATTGTATTTTCCTAATTTTGTTTAACTGACGTTACTATTTTGGACTTAAACCCCTATTTGATTTGTACTTTTAAATTAATCCAATATAATTCTAAAACGTTCTTTATTAGTAGGTCACCTTGTATATTTTCACGTAATTTCAAACATCTTTAAAGTTATCTCTAAAAATAAAAGGTTGCATATGCAATAGAAACATTCTTAAACGATTAACAGCACTAATAAAGATTTTTGTTATTTACAAAATCTATGTATAAATTATTTCACATTCTTTGTTGTTGTTGTTTTATATATGCAAATAATCTGTCTACATTCCTAAATCATTTATCAACTATCGAACGGATCACATTAGTAAACTTAAATATGACTAATGTGTTGATGTCGGGTGACAATCCCTTCTTCCAAACAAACTACCACATTTTAAAATGTCTTTTGAAAATCTAATTTCATAATCTTTAATTATTTTGTTTTACACTAAACGAATAAAAAATATTTCAGTTAACTAACACACACTTTTAATTTACAGTTATGAATGTTTATGTAAAAACATGGGTTTAAATATAGATTCAAAGTTTGCCTATAAAGTTTCCTATACAGATTCTAGTATGGACGGATAGATTGGATTTTTATGCTGTTTTTCTTTAGGCAACTTGTCAATAGATCTTGGAGCAACAGTGCAGATTTTTTATGTATAAAATATTTAAGCTTAAAGCCACACTGTACTATCCGAATCACACTTTCGTCTACGTAGTTTCAATATTACCTGAAGGACAGAGTTAAGTAAAACATTTGTTTCCAAAGTCATTCACTATTGAATCGAATTTTCACCCTGCAAATTAGATACGTTCTAATACTCGTTGAAAGTTAACTCAAAACTTTTGTTTCTCCACTTTTCAGTTCTAAACTAGTTCGAAAATATATATTCTATTAACATCCAATGTTTCATTTAGCTTAACTGGTGATAAAAATGTACAGCGCTTTCATAATCTTAGATCCAATTTTTGTATTTAGAGAATTATTTCCATACTATTTAATTAATATAGACATATGATAAATAATGCAACCTCCAAACATCATTTTGACATGAGTGGCTAACAAAAAGCTGTTCCATTTAGGTAATAAAAAAACTTGACGATGTGCTGTCCAATAAAGTCGAATTCATTTTGCCAAACTGAAAAGCGAGGAACTAAAGTTTTCACGTTATCCTTTGAATGTATCAAAACACCATAATTATAATAGAAAATTAATATTACGATATGTGTCTTGTAAAGATAATTTAATTAACTATGTTACGATTATCATAGATAACTAATACTGCATAAAATACCTCATTTTTGTAGCTTTAAAAGTTTTTAGGGAAAAAATTGAAAATTTAAAATTTTGTGTTTAAAAGGTAAACACTAAATAGTATACGTTTCTAGTTGCATTTTCTTAATCGATTACTAGGCTAACTCTGAAAAGTGGGCTAACAAAATAGACATATCAACTGTTTTGTTGAACTTTCACGAAGCTACATAAATGGGCCCACCGCAAGTATCGAAATCCGAATTTTAGCGTTATAAGCTCTCAGACTTACCAGTAGCCGCATAGAGACAAGCGACATATCAAGCTTTTTCTTTTTCTTAGAAAACATAATGAGAAATTACGATCAAATTTATTGAAGAAGGAAGTCTTGTTTATATGTCGAAGAGTACATTGGTAGCACTATTGAAATGTTGGAGTTTAGTTTAACTTCCTGTTGTGTGATAAAATTAGAAACTTTCATTCACACCGTTAGTTCCTTGTAACAAATTTCATTTAACGTCGCTGTAAATAAAAGTAATATTGTTACTCCGTCTAACAGCTTTAATTTAAATATAATATAGCAAACATTTGGTATTAGAAAAGCTTCTTTATTTGTTTAGAATTTGTGCTATTTTGTTGTTAAGCACAAAGCAACATAATGGTCTATCTGTGTTGTGCTCACCAAGAGTCTCGAAACCCAGTTTCTAACATTATAAGACTTCAGACTTACCGCTGAGCCACTGAAGGTTATTTATTTGGAATTTGTGTTTGTTATTAGTTGAGTATTTTCAGTTCAAATTATATACACTTATATTTTATCTTAAGGATAATAAAACGTATATCGTTTTATTATACGAATAAATTAGCATCAAAGTTTGTCACTCTTTGTATATTTTACCAGTTGTCTTCAGCAGTTATCTCAATGAAGTACTTCTTTACTATATGTCAGAATCACATTAGCACTAAATACTATCTGATTAAAAGTCTGAAGCTTCTGTCCAAAGAGAAAAATCAATGGTCATGTATCTAAAACAATAATTGGAATGAAAACATTCTAACTGTATGGTTTAAACATATAAACACAAGTTCTTCAGTCATTCATATTTTATCAGGTGTAATACATAAACATTCGTATTGATTCTTCCAACATCTGAGATGAAAATACACACATACATACAAACACACACACACACACACATATATATATAGGTAAAGAGAGGGTCTATACCTTATATCATCGCAAAGTATAACCAATAAAACTGTTTTTTTTTTTTGTTCTCCACTTTCTCGAACAATGACATACGCATACATCACTTACTATTACACAATTTCTATTGATGTTTCAACCATTTTTTTCTGATATTTTATTCTTTAAGAACATAAAATATGTTCACAACACTTTGTATGAGTGGAATATCAATATAAATAATTTTATGATTAGAATATAAGGAAAACAAGTGTTGAATCTGCAAGTTTAGTTCAAAATTAAAAAAGAACAACATAAACTGAACAAGAGCATACTTGAATGTGTTTATTGGAAGAAAGTCAAACAAGCCTTCCTGGGTAGGATTCCTTGCCTATCTTAACCATCCACTCCCTTTCAGGGGTAAGCCCGTTCCTAAAACTATCCTGGCCATATCTAGCATCAAACTGTGAGTCAGACAAGCTTGTACTGCATTTAATTTTCAGGTCAGTAGCCACTTTCTGGCGGTACCACAAAATTATCACTATTACTACTATGACCAGCACTCCGACTACAGCAAACGTCCATGTCAATATTTTTTGTGTTTCTGATCTATAACATCCCAAGTCCTCTGGAGTCAAATCTTTCAATAATAGATCAAGTAGAAAGGGCGGGGTTTCACACGTAATACGTGTGATGTCAGGATCAATAATACTAGAATAGTTAAAATTTTGCACAAAACGTAGAAGCCAGAGTAGGCTACAATTACATACAAGTGGATTATCTCGTACATCAAAACTTTCTAAATTTTGCCAAGGGAGTACTTCGGCAGGAACAGTATAGAAGGCATTGTCACGAAGACTAATTGTGCGAAGAGAAGAGAGAACCGAGAAAGTATCTTTGCCAATATAACGGAGTTCTTTGTTGTGATTCATAACTATATGTTGTAAATTACTGTTGCTTAAGAAAGCATGGTTTTCAATTCTCTCTAACAGAGGCGCGCTGTTAATATTGAGGGATCGGAGATTTTTTAGGCCTGCAAATGCGTTATTTTGGATTTTTCTGAAGTTATTTTGCCCGATTTTGAGTTCCTGTACTGTTTCCAAGTCCTGCAGAGCTTCAGTAGGGATGTCTTTAAGCTCATTATCTTGAAGTAAAAGGTCAGTAAGATGATTAAGCCCAGCAAATGCGTGCTTATGAATCTCATGTATTCTGCAGCTGTCCAGTTTCAGCAATTTTAATTCTAATAGATTTGAAAATACGTGGTCTTCAACCAAGAGAATAGAATTCTGGCCTAAATCCAAGCTTATGAGATAAGGTATGGGCTCGAAAGCTGGCTTAGGAATTTGCTCTAGCTTGTTTTCTCGAAGTAAGAGGATTTTTATCCTTGATAATCCGATAAAGGCATCGTTCGAAATGGTCACAATGTTATTTTTAGACAAATCCAAAACTTCAAGGCTAGATAATTCTTTGAAGACTCCTGATGGAAGTTCTCGGATAACATTTCCCGCAAGCTTTAAAATCTCCAGGGAATTCAAGCCCAAAAATGACATTTGATGCAAGGAAGAAATCATATTATGGCTGAGAAGAAGAATCTGAAGTCTGTGTTGACGCTCAAAGTTATTTTTTCCCAAGGTCACCAGGTGATTCCCATTCATATCTAAATACTCAAGGTTATGGTAGACACTAAATGCTGACATTATGCTCCTTATACTATTTTTTCCCAAATGCAGTTGTCGTAAGTCAGGGTTCAAAGTGATGGGTACAACATCCAGTTTCGCACCATCACAAAAAACCATAAGTTTCTTTTCGTCACACTGGCACCGATAAGGACACAGCCCGGATACAACCTTATGACACAAGAGAACACCGACGAAAAACGCAAATTTTATTTGATATTTCATTGTGAAATTGTGATACTAGCATCTCCTTTACTGGAACAGACCCTGAAACACAGAAGTAAACCCCATTGTCAGAACAAAATATAATTCAACACAAAATCCGACAAGTTACAGTAAGTTTGTTTGTTGAAAATCTATTATTTTTGGTATTTTCTATTATTATTGATTTCTATTTTTTTAATCTCAACATTTACTAAGGGGAAATATTGCAATCGAATTTGTAGGTTTGCCCTTTTCTTTAAAGAACATATACGCTTCATTTCGAGACGTTAACAAAAAATACATATTAATAAATTGTATTTATATCTTGCCATAAAATCATACTATGTATATTTTCAATATATATATCAATTAATGATAGGTGTGAATCTATGATGACAAGAATAACATGCACAAATCTCACAAACTCCACTAACTAATATTATTCGTTCTGGCCTGACAAGTGACAGAAATTAACGGCTATTTTTGCCTGAGGAAGGAATTCGATGAACTCATACAAACAAGATAGTTCCAAAATATAGTAAAATGTTTTACCGTTTTTGCGCAAACGAAAATTGAAAGTGAATACCTTTGATATTCATTTACTTTTTGGTAGAATAACAGTATAAATAGTAAGAAAAAAGAAGTGTTTCATAGAACATTTGTCTGTTCATCTGTATAACTATTTCTTTATCTTCCCCACAATCCTCACCAGAATATTATGTTCTCTAGTCCAATAAAACAGATTGTATAGCAGATGATGGGTTTTAAAAAATCTTTAATGATGTGAAAAACAAATCCGACTTTTTTGTGCTTTTCTGATGACGTAGTGGAATTTACAAAAACTGTGAAACACCAAATCTAAAATCACTATACAAATGTAATCTCGAATAAATATGTGAAAGAGAATATAAGATATTTTATAAAACTTTTGCGATAACAGTATTAAGAACAATATAAATGTTTATAAGACAGTACAAACGTATATCATCAACTAGTCTGACTTATAAAAGCAAAATATCTTAGTTTGATATAACAGGAAAATGGTTATACACTATATAAGCTTTTAATTTGCTGATCACTACTACGACAGAAATATAATGGTAGAACATTCAAGGTCCGGCATGGCCAGGTGGTTAGGGCACTCGACTCGCAATCTGAGAGTCGCGGGTTCAAATCCCCATCCCACCAAACATGCTCGCCTTTTCAGCCA